TTTGTTCAACATAGTGTAAATTGCCATTTCCTCAACAATATGAAGAATAATAAAACACCATAAAGTTAAGCCTATTATCTATATCGATTATCATTCCCATTAAACATTCCAGGGAGATAAACACCCAACTCTTTCTGACTTGTACAAGTCTCTGTCTACTCTTGGAATGGATACGACCCAACTCCAGGAAGGCATTACACAGTGCTATAAGCAAGTATAAAACCTATGGAACAAGCATTGTAGTATGTACCTTTTTTTTCTAAAGTAGAGATTCAGTGCAAGTTGTAAGTTCCCACACTTAGCTTATAGAAATAACACTCTATTATCATGTTCTTGAATTATTGGTTCCTTCAGGAGTCCAATTCCTGTTAAATTGACCATGCAGCTATGGCAACTGAATCAGTATATATCCATGTTGTTCCACATTGAACCAGGAAGGTTGCATCATGATGTTTTATAGCATCTGTTGTAGTGGAGGTTGTGATCAATACTTCTGTTCAACCATAAGGCCATTACAGACACTAGATATTGTCTCAAGTTTGAGTCCAAAGCTTCAGTTATCACTTCTTATGGTTTCTTTCTCTGTTCCAGATCATGGTTGAATATGACCACTTTGAACTGCATCACCATAGAAACTGATACCACCAGTAAGGAGATTTGTTTGAGAAGGCTCATGTGGTATCACATGGATTTGGTCAGCAGTTCTTACATATTCATCAAAAATCTTGATTTCAAATTCCTTCCATGCAATACCATTGATCATATGAGTGGTAAAATTCTATTTGACACCTTGGCATTTAGCATTTAACTCATGCTATGAATTTCTCAAATTTGGATCTGCAACACAACCACGTCCCATTCTCTGAGATGTCATCTGTACAAATGTTCTACGGTGTTGAGAAAATGGCCATTTTAATTTACCATCAGGCACTGTACTGCCTGTTCTCAAGTCCATTCAAGAACTTGCTTGAGGACACGAACCAACTCCTATTTTACCATCTCCTTAAACATCTGTTTTGCATCACTACCACAATAATACGATGATACAGACAGGTATGTGCCACTACTATACAGTCAAAAGTCTAGAGAGGTGTGCATCCTTAATACTGCAGTATTCTCGATCAGTTTTTGGAGTGGAATGTTGAAATGTATAGGAAAATGCAAAATTCCGTTTTGCATTCTGAGTTGAACTCAGTCAGTGAATATGAACTCATAACGTCATCAATATAGCTTACCAACTAAGAAGGCTTTTGACTGGCCCAAAGGTCCTCTACCACTCTCCTAGCCCAAGAGTGACTCAAACCAGTGCTTAATGATTTATGGGCTGGTTAACAAACAGCTTGAATTCACATAGATAATATACTAGCAAGTTCTCAGAAAATTCAGGCTGTTTTTTGACCACCATCTTTACTGTTCAGAGCTACTGCATGTGGGAGTCAACCAGCTAAGGAAGCAGCTGTGGTTTTACCCAGCTTCCTATCAATCTATTGGTCACAATGATGGATTGAGAATGTGGACATAGCTCTCATCATGACCAACAAAACCCCTTGGTTTTAGAAAATGTCTTTTTTTCCTTCCTATATTCTTTTATTGTGTCCTTACGTCAATCATAACTTTCCAATCTCTATTGTAAGTTCTACGTGGTCTCGGGAAGTGCCCTTTGATGATGATCATGTGTTACACACTTTACAGTACCAGACAGTCAAACAGGAAAAGAAGCACATAAAAAATGATTTCATCACAGCAACCAAAACATAACTTCATAACTGTCTGTTGTATTCAGGTACATTGGTATTCAACAAAATACAGGTTCCAGAGATTTTATAGAGAGCATACAGAGAATACAGACAAAAGTGAACGAAATCTTTGTCACACTTAAAGTGTAAACTGTCATTTACTTAACTGGCTGGTATCTGATGTCATTAACAAATATTACAACTGGATGCTAAGATAAAGTGCAGAATAAAAACAGAAACATACCCATACTGAAAAGAAAAAGAACAAGGATGAGATAAAATATAATACAATACCACACTGTTAAGTTAGACCAGAGACATAGTGCAGTATCTCATAATCTTTAGATTATTATGTGGTTTATGGTTTATTATGAATTTCGCACAAAGCTACACGAGGGCTATCTACACTAGCCTTCCTTAATTTAGCAGTGTAAGACTAGAGAGAAGGCAACTAGTCATCACCACCCACCGCAAACTCCTGGGCTACTCTTTTACCAATGAATAGTGGGATTGACTGTCACATTATAATGCCCCCACTGCTAAAAGGGCGAGCATGTTTGGTGTGACGGGGACTTGAACTCACAGATTCAGAGTGGAGCTCCCTAACCACCTGGCCATGCCGGGCCCGATTATTATGTGAAGCATTATTTCCACTAAACATAATCAAGATAGATAGCCCCCACCCCATCCAATTCACACTAACTTGCATAAGTCTTTGTACTGCTCCTCAGAATGATTACATTCTAGGAGCATGTATTACAGGGCCAAGAAAGTATAAACCAATGAAACAAGCATTGTGGTATGTAAACTTTATCTAAGGTAGAAAATTAGTGGAAGTTTACAACCTTCCCATGTTAATTACAAGCAAAATACACATGTTTTAAACATTTAGAAATAGTTATGACAATAAAGTCATATTCTTCACCACCTATGGAAGGGTGAAATATAAAATATCCAATCGTCACAACTGTATCACTTGATACGTGAGAGTAACACCTACGTTGAGTTACTTTCAAGATAGACTACAGTCATGTGAAACAGAAATGGAGGAAAACTTACATATGTGGTTTTCACAACAGAAGGGGCTTTAGCTAGGCAATCATTAAATAAATGGCATGGAAGTGTACTGGTTAAGTGTATCCTATACAAAACATATAGAATCAGTACACTGCTATGTCTAGGATACATAATCTCATCCAATACACAAGTGTATAACTAGTGCTTCATCGAGGTGATGTTTTCACACACTCAGTTAAAATCTTCTCATAAAATAACACTGATTGTTACATTGTTTCAACTCATGCTGCTAGTTGAACTCCTAAACTTCCAAAGATCAAATTGACTAAGCAATTTCAATCTATACGCGAATTTTAAAAGACCAATTTACATTATTATTGTAATATAGTATTAAAAATATCTTGTGCTTCAACATTGAAGGTTTGTTTTAAGTTTTCATTAAATGTCGCTCTTACTGTACATCTAAACATGTTTTATGTTTCATTAAATGTCACTCTTACTGTACATCTAAACATGTTTTGTTTTCATCAAATATAACTCTTACTGTACATCTAAACATGTTTTGTTTTCATCAAATATAACTCTTTGTACATCTAAACATGTTTTATGTTTTCATCAAATATAACTCTTTGTACATCTAAACATGTTTTATGTTTTCATCAAATATAACTCTTTGTACATCTAAACATGTTTTATGTTTTCATCAAATATCATTATTATTGTACATCTAAACAGGTTTTATGTTTTCATCAAATATCATTATTATTGTACATCTAAACATGTTTTATGTTTTCATCAAATATCATTATTACTGTACATCTAAACTTGTTTTAGATTTCAAAAGCAAAGGTTTAAGATGTTTGACATTTGTTCACAGTTCAAAGTAGCACAGGTTAAGATGATTGCAAGTTGTTCACAGTTCTCAATGTAGAAACCACAGGTAAGATAACTGGCAGTTGTTCACAGTTCTCAGGGTAGAAACCACAGATAAGATAATTGGCAGTTGTTCACAGTTCTCAGGGTAGAAACCACATGTAAGATAATCGGCCCAATTATCTTACCTGTGGTTTCTACCCTGAGAACTGTGAACAACTCAGTTGTTACAGTTCTCAGGGTAGAAACCACAGGTAAGATAATTGGCAGTTGTTCACATTTCTGAGGGTATAAACTCATGTAAGATGGTTAGCAGTTGTTCACAGGTCTCAGGGTAGAAACCATAGGTCAGATAATTGGCATTTGTTCATAGGTCTCAGGGTAGAAACCACAGGTAAGATAATCGGCAGTTGTTTACAGTTCTCAGGGTAGAAACCACAGGTAGATAATTGGCAGTTGTTCACAGTTCTCAGGATAGAAACCACAGGTAAGATAATTGGCATTTGTTAGAATTTCTCAGGGTAGAAACTCAGGTATAAAGATGAAGTACACTCCGGTGATCAAGTGTAATAACATAAAACTTCTGTTTCTATTGTGCACAAGGAATGTAATTTTGTGTGTTCTTTATATGTACATATGCACGTGTTTTTGAGTGTCTTACAAATCAATAACTAATAATAATTTTAAATTGTATACATTCTTATATAAAAAAATTCAGTGCATTATAAAGTGTACTCTGGCTTCAGTTTCAGATAATAGTAAAATAATTTTTTGAGAGGTCTATGTATTGATTTGAAACTGGTTATTTCTGTGAAAATAGCTGCATCATTCCTTTGAATGTTCATAGAAGTTAAGATTTTCCTAAATTGTAAATTTTCGATAGATACTTACCTCCGTTCACATTTCCCACCCATCCTCCCCACTTCTGGTGATATTTGGTGTAGGTGTTCTGACCAATCTCCAAGTGATTAACGAGTGTAAATGCGGAGAGGGTGCTGGTTACGACAAGAAGTTATGTCGCACTCCTATTGGTGGAGAACTGCTGCATAACCATTTACATGTGGATATGCAGACACAGGAAGTAGAAGACTATACCATCTCCACAAGACATCATGTGCTTCAAAAAACACCCAAGTTCTCAGTGCACATAAACTAGTTACAAAGATTTCTACTAATAGGTTCTACTATCCAATTAGCCAAACTAAAAAAAATGAGGTTTTAAACAAAATTAAGACAAAATTGTTTTCAATAAAAATTTAGGAATAGAGAGAGAGATGTAAGACAATGTTATCTAATAAAAGTCTTAGGCCTTTTTTTTTAATTATCTACATCACTGTAAAACAATCATTGATTTATAAATAACTAAAAAAGCAGTAATTGGTACACTCGTTTATTCAAGGATTAAAAAAAAAATCACATTTTTTTCAGTTGCAACAAGTTCAAAATCTGCATTAATATTTCACAATTTGGGCTTCACTTTGAATGAGTCAACTAATTTGTTCCACCTATAGGCTGTAAACTGTCAAACTTCATCCTTCCAGTCAATATGTATTGACTAGGAAAGTTTGGACCATATTCAGAATTTAACACAGTTAACCGCAACAACTTCTAGTATCATGTTAATTATACAAACAATACATTAACTAATATTTTCCACCACATTTCTTGGCCTCAACTACTGATGAATTATTGAAATTTGCAAGTATGTTGAGATAAATTAGATCTCAGAATCACCTCCAATGTGTAAGAAAATATTCAATTGTAGATTTATATAACAAAGTTTAAATTTCCATGGGTTGGACACCAGCGTATTGGCCAGGTGGCATTCCAGTTCAAAGTACAGCCGAATTTATCCACCCATCTCCAATACCTGGTACTTCTTCCGTATTTTACCATATACACAAAAGTCCATGAAAATATCTCCTTAACTGCTGCATTCCATTTTATTGAGGATAAAAGCAAAGTAACCTGCCATGTCCACACTTTCCCGTTCAGACCGCTGTATAAACTGGTGTTCCTGTAATGTGAAGATATTTAGGTGTTATCCTATAATAACAAGAAAGTGCCATTGTTAAACTTAAAACAAAAATTTAAATTCAGTTACAAAAATGAGAAAGATATCTATTAAATACACATGTTTTACTGTTAAAGAACTGTCTCATTAAATTTAATGTTGACACATTTCTAAAACAAATAAATATATCAGCTGATCAGTATGTCTTACTGAAACATCACAAAATGATCAACATTTACAGTTTATTGTCAACAAATTTAGTCATAACAAATCAAAAATGTCACATTGGATACAGTCAATCAGTCTTATGACAAACTCTATATGACTACCAGAGAATTTTTAGTCCAACAATGAAAAGTACAAGATGATCATCATGAACCACAGTAGTGGTTCATAATATGGATAACCAATTGTAATTTCTTCTTCATTATTATTATTTAATATTGTTCCAGTAGTTTACAGCAAAAATGGCAGTGAGTATTGTAATACAACCAGGTCAGTATTACTAAAACCATTATTGTGCATTGTGTAGGGTAGTTTTTAAGTTTATTTGACCACCTAGCAAATAACAGGAGCTGTATAACTGTTTACAATCAATCATTTTTATGTAGTCTGTGGTTTATATGGAGCCTCATAATCTACTTCATGCATACGTATATAGCTGCATGCACGCTGTGGATGTAATTTAATGTTTATATGGCAGGCATGACACATGTACCATAGCGATTATTAACTTATTGTTGCAACTGTATTGACATTGCATATCATTTGTTTATGAATAGGATTCCTACCTTTTGGACACAATACTTCTGACAGGATCAGTTTTTTACCACTGCATGATTGATTTCGGCCAGGTTACACAAACATTTAACTCTTTCACTATGGGCTTGGTCCCTGGGACCAACCTTGTAACCATTTTGTGCTTGTTATAGTTTTCATGCTATAACTTTTAAATCAGTAAGCGTATGTTCATGAAATTTAGCATAATATTATATATTTGCTTTCATATGCAAAATATTAGATATTTTTTTATTAAGTCTTAAGGTTTGTTAAGCAATGTTTTTCTCATGCATTTTTCATTTCACATGTTGCCTAAACAACAGGCAAAATAATTTTCATTTTCAGATTAAAAATACTTTTATGCATCAGAAAATTTTCAAATTTCACATGCGAAATCTTTATAACGTCCACACAGTTATCAAATGTTTCTTAAGAAAAACACTCATATTTTTTTCTGTTATTTTCACTAAAGAATCTCTGTATGGGTTTGTTATGTTTGACCGATTTTGTAAACACCATAAAAAAATTAGTAAATAAATATAAATTATGCCTTTTTCTTTCTAGAATGACTAGAAATTATAACATGAAAACACAAATTTTTAGACTAAATAGCTTAAAATCTCCTAACATAAATTTATATATGTTTATTATTTTTATTATATTGACCTTTCAGCCATGTCTGGCTAATAATACAGAAGTTACAATGATGTGGCGCGCATGCACTCAGGTTACCGTATCCAATAGTATAAAACTGACCTTTAGTCTTTACAAAGTGACCTGTCTTGGCTGTGTTATAGTGGACTAGCATTTCGTAAAATACAGTCACATTTCAATTATTATACATTATATATGTATAGATTGTTACTATTTATAAACAACTTCTTAAACTTTTTTTCTTAAAACAGTAAATAAAGAAGTAAAGCAAACAATTATCTCTTCTAGTTACGACCTTTGAACTCATTTGCTGCTTGTGTATGTTGCTAAGCCTTATCAAATTTTACATGTGGAGGATGTGAAACCATGTGTGTTTGAAATAACAAAAATTATAAATTACTATATTGATTGATTCAGTACATGAGTGATATCTCAGCAAATAGAAATGATAGGAGGTTCTTATTTTAAATTCTAGCTTGTTAATATCAGTAACTTGAGTTTCTAATTTGTATGAAACTATAGACTTTGTATTTTGACACCACAAACATCTAATTTGAATTTAATTTTTAAATATTTACTTATAAATTAAGAAATCGACTTATGTATAATACTAAGATTTGAATTATAATCTACTATTTGATACCAAACTTATTGACATAAATTCGTAAAATAGTAGTTCAATAAAATTTTTAATACGAGTCAACAAACTCGATGACATGGCCTTTGACCTGTGTGGAAAGGGTTAAAACATTACACAAATCTCTACAACATTCTGCAAATGTCAAGGTTTTCTACCCACAACAGAAATCTTTATGCCATAGGTTAAAAAATAACACCAAGCTCAGTTTCAAATATTGGATCAGCAATCACGTTGTTGGCTGACTGTAAGTGCCAAATTGTAGCCAACACTGCGTGATTGCAAATTTTATAGATATGCATAGATAGTAGCCATCCTTGAAGCTGACTATAAGGAATGGCAAGAATCGTACAAAGAGGAAACGACAAAAATGATGGTGATTCTAGACAAAAGTGAGGCATAAATTTTGTAGCTATATATTTTATTGAGAATATATTTAGCTTCAGATAAAGTATGCAGCAGCGACAGCCCACCAGAGTTTAGGGTCATCACACTCGAAGAGGGTCGTTCAAGTGTCACGATTCAAACTCCATTAGAAATTGAGGGGGGGAAGGTATATTAATATAATCAATTCATAATTGTTAATTAACACATTTTCGACCTTGTAGTGTGCCCATAATGTCACTCTAAGAGGAAACCTGGCCAGTTCCAGCAAAATCATAATCAGCCTTACTATGGGTGGTGGAAAGGAAGAGAAAATATAACAACTATAAGAAATATTAAAAATGCTTGTTTCTATACATAAGCTATTGTATTATGATACATTGTCTTATATTTGCATTAAATATTAAGTTGTCAAGAAATTAATGTTGCTTTTTTTTTAGATGAAAACACCCGAACAACTTGTATATCAAAACAAAACATTTAGTAAATGAAATTGCCTCCAGTCTTATCGGTGATCATTTTCCATTTTTCAATCAGGTTGTTAATGCCCTGATTAAAAAAATCACTTGGCTTTTAAGCAAAAAAACTTGTCCATGCCCTCTTTAACACTTTCCACATTTGCATACATTTTCCCATTAAGATGGTGATGCAGCAAATGAAAAAGATGGTAATCTGATGATGCCATATCTGGAAAATATGGTTGGTGGGGGAGAATTTCCCAATCCAATTCCATAATCTTGTGTTGCATCAAATGTGCCATTTGTGGACGTGCATTGTCGTGGAGAAGAAGAACACCTTTCCGAATGACAAGTGCAGGGCGTTTCTGATGAAGGGCTTGATTTAAACATTCAATTGGTGACTATAGATCTCTGCACTGACAGTTGGCTGTGGATTGAAGAGTTCAAAATTAATTATTTCTTTGATGTCCCACCAAATGTAAAGCATTACTTTCTGATGATGGAGTCCGGGTTTTGGGGTCAGAAGTGTTTTTTTGTCTAGGCTGAGCCATTGCTTTTGTCATTTAATATTTGCATAGAGAATCCATTTTTCATCACTGGTGACAATTCTGTCCGAAAATGAGACGAAGCAATGTTCACATGTTGGAAACGATGATCATCGGAGAGTTTGTGAGGCACCCAAACACCTTCTTTATGGAGTTTTCTGATATTCCTTAGATGTTTACATATTGTTTCAAGAGAGACATGCAATTTCAGGGCCATTTCACAAGTGTGTTGCCTTGAGTTAGACTCAGCAAGCATCTTCAGAGCATCAATATCAATTCCAACATGTCGACCCCTGCCATCATAGTTTTTAAGGCTAAAGTCACCTACACGAAATTTTCTGAACCATCATTGACATTTATGAACGTTCAAAACATTTCCATAAACTTCTTTGATATTCCTTGTGACTATAGAAGCATTGTTTACCTTCTTGTATTCAAACAGCATTATATGCCGAATGGGTGTCTCGTCGTGTGCCATCACTATAAGGGATTAGAGTATACTAAGCCCAACACATTATATAGGCTACACTAATGTGATGTTTAGACAGTTTGTTTAACTATTATACATAATGTATGTCTTGGGGTGATGGTTTTTGGGTGAAAAATACATATAGCTATCTATATATACAGCATTACAACTGTAAAAACTATAAAACTTGCATGTACATATAAATACTAGCCAATATGCATTGCATGTTCATGCATGAATAAAACTTGTGTTGTTACAAAATCCAGGTCATGCACCATTCCAGTACAGTTCAGTAGTCCCTCCAACCCAGTGTTTACAGACTCCCTGTATAGTGACAGGGTATAAATATAGTAGCTATATATATTTTAACATGTGGTATGTTGATCACCAAGTATCATGGTGAATATATATACAATACCACTATCAATGATAACATTGTGGCAATTATACCAGCAGAAATAGCCATCCAATCTGCATGGAGCCAATCTATAGATTCTCACTGTTTCCCAAGAGAGAATCATACACCAACTACACATTTCATTGTACTAAACTGTTTCATATAAGACAGTATTGTTATTATAAAGGTTTATGTGCATGATTGACATAAAAAAATTAAAGAAACAAGATTATTAAAAATTTTTAATTTAAAAAGGGAGAATAGGGATCTTCAACAAAATACAGAAACAAGATAGGTAGCTTTTAGACATAGTCAAAATATGAATTTGTAGCTTGAGGAAATAATGTCAACACTATGTCCCAAACCTTCAACTTGTTTGCTTACTTTTTTTGCGATTGCATTTTCACTGTAAGCTACCCACCTTGCTTTTGTATTTTGTTGAAGATCCCTATTCTCCCTTTTTAAATTAATCTATTAATGTTAGGAAAATAATTGAAATTAGCGTTACTAATTATTACTATCATTCGTCATTCCAACTATCCAGGTCTCGTGAAAATAATAACTTACTTGAACTTAATCAATAAATGAGCCTGACGATTGATTGATTAGTAAATTCCACTAATCACCCAGCTCTACATAAGAGTTATGTAACAATTAGAAATACTTCTCAAGACCTAAAAGAAAGTACTTTTAACAGCATTTAATTTTCAAACAATTAATGGAGATTTTCAACATCAATTAATCCTACAAATATGGGCTGGGTGGAATCCACCCGGCTCATAACCACGAGAGTAATGCTACTATAATGTTTGATAATGAACGCGTATCTTTACAAATTTTGCAGATTATTAGTAAACATTGCAAGGTTTTCATAGAAAAAATATCAGGTTTCTAAATTAAGTATCAAGATTTTTTTTATTAAAGATTTGCTTGTGAATTTTTTCTTTCAAAATGTTGACTATCTAACGTGCAAAGTAAATTTGATTTTAAGATTAAAAATACTTTTCTCTATCTGAAATTTGTAAAGTTTCATTTCCATAATATCTATATCCTTCTAGAAAATTAGAAAAAGTTTTTTGAATAAAACTTTATATTTAATCTGTTATTTTATCAATATTAACTCTATACGGTGTTGGTCGATTTGACCAATCTCGTAACCGTCATAAAAATTAGGAAATAAATCTAGATTACCTTTTTCTTCTTACAGAATGACTGCAAGTTCTAACAGGTAACCACAAATGTTTATTCTAAAAAGCTTTAACCTTGTAACTGTATACATCTATTAATTTTTGTTTTATTGACTTTTGAACTATTTTGTGATTTGTTTCTTTTATAATAATAAATAGTGAAAACAAACGAAAAGTAAATAACCTCGTAATTAAATATCAAACACTCTTTTCAATAAAACTTTATATTTTATCTCTTATTTCCTCTACTGTAGCATTATACATGATTCTCCAGGTTGTATAACGAAAATAAAATGTATATTATTGTTATACTGATCGCAAAGTTTCAAAAAGTTTATACTTCTCACCTTTTCACACTTATTTTCTGTACTAATTTTATCATTAGGAGCTGACTTAGAAACTAGACGAAACAACATGAATAGTACTGTCTGTCCTTTTAAAATATGGATCATGAAGGTGCAAAATAAATCACCTGAAAGTTTCTTCTAAACTTTTCACACCTCTTTCCTATGTTTATTCTACTGTTAGTGGCTGAAGCAGAAATCTGCTGAATATGAAGCAATGAATCGCTGCTCCTTACTTAGTTTGACACCGTCAATATCAAATAAGCTCATGCTGCACAATTCCCAAAACTTTCCCTGCTTTGAAAACACAGTGGGGTAGGATTTATCAACTTGTTACAATGACAGTTGTGTAAAGTATTATAAAATGTTTATGTTATGACTTTTGTAGAAAGTTCAGCTCGATCCAATAAGTTGATAAACGGAAGTATCCTATAGAAACTATTTGAATCGCTGCTCTGAGAACACTGTGGGGTAGAATTTGCCGGCTTCCTTGCAGTACAGTGGTTCCAACAAGAACTGTATAAAGTACTTTATAAAAGTGAGACAAAATATTTATGATATTACTCTTTACAAAGTTGTATCTGATCCAATAAACTTGGATGGTCAGGATTTAGTGTTAATGTAGGAGTGAAAGTGCTTATGAACATCCTGTTTCCTATTTTACCATGCTTACACAGTAACCAATAAATGTGTAGTTTCCAATATTTTGTAAAATACAGTGAGGTTTTGGTTACCATACATTATATATATGTGTGTAATATATATATATATATTATTACTATTTACAAATAAATATTCAAATTTCAGTTATTTTTCTTGAAACATAGAACAGTAAATATAAAATATTTAGAAAACAATGATCTCCACTACTTAGGATGTTTGAAGTCCTTTTTTGCACTCGTGAGTCATACTTGCTAACCCACATCGTAAGCCTTGTCCAAATTCACATATCGATGTAGAAAAAAATAATTTTTGTAGACTTTATATATGTGCATTTTTGAAGACCAAAAAATTATAAATGATTATACTGATACCACAAAAATCTATTGTAATTTACCAAGTTTCTTAACTATGCTTTATTTGAGTCTAAAAAAATCTAATTTCTGTTTGAAAAATAGCATTGATCATAATACTTCAAACTCTCCAACAATACAAGAGTTCTTCTCTCATAAATAACTTAGAAAGAGTAACAGAATTACACAGAGGAGATTTAGAGCTTTTGATTGGTTATAAACTTATAGGTAGATAAACAAGTCTTCTAAAAGGATGAAGTGGTGGGTGGAGTCAATAGGGTGGAGGCATAAATATTATAGAAAACGTAGAAGGTTTTTCTACAGTTCTTAGAACAATCAAACTCACCAACAATTTCTTGTACTTAGGTCGATGTTGTTCATCTTTGATTAAACTGAAAAAGAGCAAAGATTTGACTGATGACCAATCATTACGTCTTGTTACTAATCAAATGATCAAAAAGTATTAGTAGCCGCTCAACCTGTAAACTGTGTCAGTCATTTTCTTGAGACTTAAAGAGACAATCGTAAATTATACCATTTTGAATAATCACTAGTAAAATTTAATTTTTCTGTTTGTATGCAAGGCATTATTGGGAGAAACTGTTAGCTTTGTATTTTGTACGGAAAAACAACTTAAGAATTTTGAAAGAACACTTTTATCACAAATGTAAAATATGAATATTAAGAATCCCAATTTAAAACCAAATTTATTTATTTTTTTCAGGCACTAAAGTCATGATTGTTAAAGCCAGTTGAAAAACTCACAATGACTATACATTATTTTCCTCCTTAGAGTACAATAAACCTGGAAAAAAGTAATAAAATGTAAAGAGAAACTATTACAAGACCACATCTATTTGCCACTAATTCAGCATAGTTCATTAGATAAAAACTTCCTTATTGCTCTAGCAAGTAGTTTATACGTTATATAAATAAAAAGTGAAAACCATTTTGTAAATTTAGTTTCTTCCATCTTTAGAGAAATTAAAAAATTAATTATCTTTTAATGGTTAAGACTATTGCATCTTCGATTTTCAGCTTCTGCAGATTTAAGTTTTTGTTCACAATTTAATCGGAGTAACTGTTGAGAGGCTTGAAAAAGAGAACAAACTCAAAAGGTTTCAGATCGCACTAGGTTTAGTGGATATAGTAATTAAGAACACATTAATGGGCTTCCTTATAATGATAAGAAATGTATATCAAGTCCAGTGAACTTGTCATAAAACTGGAGAAATTATAGTTTAATACACTCTTGGGTAATGATGTAAACATGGCTATATGAACTAATACCAAGCAGATGACCATTCTTAACTCTCTTGGGTAATGATGTAAACATGGCAACATGGACTAATATAAAACAGATGATCATTCTTAACTCTCTTGAGTAATGATGTAAACATGGCTACATGGACTAATATCAAACAGATGATCATTTCTAACACTCTCTTCGGTAATGATGTAAACATGGCTAAATGGACTAATACCAAACATATGATCATTTCTAACACTCTCTTGGGTAATGATTTAAACATGGCTAAATGGACTAATATCAAACAGATGACCATTTCTAACACTCTCTTGGGTAATGATGTAAACCATTTAGCCATGACTAATACCAAACAGATGATCATTTCTAACACTCTCTTGGGTAATGATGTAAACATGGCTAAATGGACTAATACCAAACAGATGACCATTCTTAACTCTCCCCTTCTCAACTTTAGTGTGATAAACTTATAATTCACGAGTCTTACCATGTGTTTACAAAGGCCACAAAATCGTTGGAAAAGATCCTTCCATTCTCATAGTGCCTTAACTGAGGTGGTTCTCCCTGTACAACTTGAGTGAGTTGTTCGAAGACACTGTCCCACTTTGGATAAGGAAACCTTCCTGTAGCTACTTCAATCTGTTATAAAAAAATGTAATTAACCTTAATAAATGGTACAAGGGTAATGCTAAAACCAAGCTGTTTCAAACTAAAGATTTTTTTACAGTAGTGACAAACTAAAACTACATCTGTTTTATCCCTTTCTTTTCTCTCTAGAGGCTGTTGGCTGATATAATAGACAAGATAGGATTATATATGTATTAATTCCCTTGAGCTTTTATCAGAATTTTACTGCATAATGCTGTTAGAAATACACTTTATTATAAGAACACCAATTTAAAACTTTATCCTGAAACATAACATTTAATTTTGGATTTCATTTTCTAAGCAAAAATGAAGAACGTAACTATAAGTAATTTAGAAACATTATATGACAAATACAATCCGAGAAACTGATACTTCATGGCTATTCATATTTGGCAACATTCATTTAAATTAAAAGTTAAACTGAACTTTAATTTTTAATATAAAAAATGGCTTAAAAGAGTGATAATGTAAACTAATCTTTAAACCAGGTTACCAATCTCATGGTAAAATACAAACATTAACTGTACCGAAGCCGAGTAACACAGTAGAGTGCAAAATATCAGCTTAGTCCAACAGAATGACCAGTCAGTTTGTAAAAAAATAAACTCACATTAATCAGATAACTACATAGGATGGTAAGATGTTAACTGAGTCCAACACAGCAACCAGTCAGTTTGTAACGAGATAAACTCACATTAATCAGATAACTACATAGGATGGTAAGATGTTAACTGAGTCCAACACAGTGACCAGTTAGTTCGTAACGAGATAAACTAACATTAATCAGATAACTACATAGGATGGTAAGATGTTGGATGAGTCCAACACAGCGACCAGTCAGTTTGTAACGAGATAAACTCACATTAATCAGATAACTACATAGGATGGTAAGATGTTAACCGAGTCCAACACAGTGACCAGTTAGTTCGTAACGAGATAAACTCACATTAATCAGATAACTACATAGGATGGTAAGATGTTGGATGAGTCCAACACAGCGACCAGTCAGTTTGTAACGAGATAAACTCACATTAATCAGATAACTACATAGGATGCTAAGATGTTGGATGAGTCCAACACAGCGACCAGTCAGTTTGTAATAATGAATTTTACCGGTTAACCAGCTTTAGTATTCAGGTGACCATACAAGATGCAACTATACCAGCTCAGTTTAGAAAGGTGACTAACCAGCTTTTAACCATGTATTTTCTCACAACTACATGATTAAATAATCTATCCCAACAAATTATAAGTTTAACTTCAACTAGTAGCATAAAAAGTATGGTTTAAACTTATGAGACCAGTTATAATATGAAATGCGAGTTACAAATATCAAGAAACATAACCTCAAAAAGAAAAAATAGTGTAACTGCTATTGAAATTTATGTGTAAAACATTGCTTTCAGCATTCTTTAATCACTCTTTTTAGGTTAATGAGTTTTTTGAAGTCATTAAATATTAAAAACACTTGTTACTAATTACCAGAGTTATCCCCAGGCTCCACACATCAGAACGGACATCATATCCTCTTGCCTGGCTAGGGTCAATTCTTTCTGGCTAGAATGGAAAACAGACATTCCAACTCTGCTTTAAATTGTCTACTGTGCATACACAACATTCTCTGAACAAGTTTGTATACATAGAAACTTTAAAATATTTAAGTGGTGTTTTCATGTAGAAATATAAATTGGAAATAATTATAGAAACAGTACATAAAATGGAAACTAAGTGGTTGCTCACCCTCTGTTTCATGAAAATGAAACGTAATGTGGTGATAGTTAACACTGTGATTGGCTATCATCCAACAAATCAGGTAGTGACACACCAGCAAGATATCTCATTAAACAGTGATAGTATTCCAAACACTAGTTTGGCGAAGACATTTATGCCTCATAACATAGGCAATCAAGGTAGAAAGTACCAGTTATTCAAAGATGACATAACGTAACCCATGGTAATAACATAAGCAAATGAGGTAGAAAGTACCAAATATTCAAAGATAACATCAAGTAATCCAAGGTAATAACATAAGCAAACGAGGTAGAAAGTCCCATATATTCAAAGATGACATTTAGAAACCCAGGGTAATAACATAAGCAAACGAGGTAGAAAGTACCAGTTATTCAAAGATGACATAATGTAACCCATGGTAATAACATAAGCAAACGAGGTAGAAAGTCCCAGATATTCAAAGATGACATTTAGAAACCCAGGGTAATAACATAAGCAAACGAGGTAGAAAGTACCAGATATTTAAAGATGACATTAAGTAACCCAGGGTAATAACATAAGCAAATGACGTAGAAAGTCCCAGTTATTCAAAGATGACATCAAGTAATCCAGGGTAATAACATAAGCAAACGAGGTAGAAAGTACCAGTTATTCAAAAATGACATTAAGTGACCCACAGTATGTTCTTCATGTTACACATAGCAATCCAGTATTGCTCATACCAGTGACACAGCTGTAAGTACAAGTGTGAACGCTACCTCTAGAACAGTAAGATACACATTAACATGAAGCGGCTTCATTGGTTAGGAGAGATATCCAAACATGAAATAGTTGTGTAAACATGTGTTTATACCAAGAGTGGGTTGAAGTGGAACTTCTTAATTTTCAAACACCCTGGATGTTAATCCTACCAGGATCAGAAGAAGGATATGGAAACCAGGAGATTGGAATGGGATGACCAAAGCAAGAGGAGGATGCTCTTTCCAGATGAATTCAAATTGTTTGCTAATAATCAATGGTAGTTTGTTCAATGGGAAGGAGAAGAAGAATATCACAGTCAATGTGCAACACCAACAGAGAAGCATGCTTGAGCATAGGTTGCATGTACACCAAATTGATGGCACTCTAACAGCTGACAAGTACATGCAGATTCTGGTCCACCATGTCATTCCCTCAGATACATAAATTACTGGGTAAGGATTCATCTTCCAGCAAGACAGTGACCACAAGCATACACAAGATGTGACAAAACACATTTTGACAGTAAAGAGACTGATGGAACAATCACAACATTGGTTGGATCTGCACAAATGCTTAGCAAGAACATGGGCTTACTTAAAAGTTGGAAGATCATATGGCTACCAAACAATCTGGCTGTAATACAAAACACTTGGAACAATATTTGACAATCTTATGGAAACACAAAAACAAGGCATACTATACTATTTACAGTAAACACAAAATATTAAAACATCATGCAATCTCTCAAGTTTTGTTTAATAATGATACAATTATTCATTGTCCTGTAAGTGTATCACTTGTAGGTTTCCATAATTACATTTCTTGTATACTTAGAGCTTGTGTAATAAACGATCTACTGCTATCATATTTCATTCTATTACAAGAGTATAAGGAAAGCATAGGTACAACTTTCCACAGTAGAAAGTGTATCTGAATGTATACAACAGCTATGTTTATGGAGAAACTGAAGATAAAAAACAGGACATTAAAGAAAAGAGCCAAGAGTTTTTTTTCATGAACAGCTGAACAACAATGCAACAAAATATGGGTTAATTAAGTCAAGAAGCTTTAAACCCAACTTCCTAGAGTACATATGATACCAGCTCTAGAAGAACTGTTTTGGTAAACATAACTTCAGACATCTATCAAAAAACAAAATTTCAATCCAAGTTCTCTCTAGCTTGAGTTTTTAAATCAAAAGTAATGTACAAATTCACAGTTTAGTCAGTGCTGCTAATGACAGCCTGATGTTATACTTTTAATGCTTTTTACAATTAACGACTGAATAATCAAACATTTTTATTTATTTCAATCTCTTCTATAGTTTATAACTGGTTATTATAAATAAAAACATTTCACTGTATCCATACAACATTTACCTTAGTTACTCTGTTATCAGATACGAGAATGGTAATAAATTAAATTTCATCTCGTATGTTTCGAAAACAGCTTCTAATTATGACAACAAACAAACCTTCATTCTATAAATTCTCTCAAGATAATGGCTTATCACATTTCAGGTACACCTCTGGTGTTCAATCAATGGAACTTCTCAGATTTTCAAGCACAAGTACATGAAATTTATTTCTTAAACAATACACATGCTTGATATGTTTAGCACCTTAATTATGAACTACTTAAGAAATTACTTGGTATTCTTTAGGTGTAGCTTTAAACTTTTAATATTACAAAGAATTTATAAAACATACTAAAAACCATTTTCAAGCCTTGTATTAACATAAAGAACATAACACTTTGTGGTTAAAACTAGTGAAACAAAAATCATATATTGTGTAGTCAGTGCAGTACTTTAAATGTATTGTATTACGTTGTCAAGAAATTATTGTTGCTTTTTTTTAGATGAAAACACCCGAACAACTTGTATATCAAAAACAAAACATTTAGTAAATGAAATAGTCTCCATTCTTATCGATGATGCTTTTCCATCTTACAATCAGGTTGTTAATGCCCTGATTAAAAAAATCACTTGGCTGTGAAGCAAAAAAACTTGTCCATGTCCTCTTTAACACCTTCCACATTTGCATACAGTTTCCCATTAAGAT